CCACTGGGGCCTTCGGTGCAGCTCTCTATGGGGCCACGAAACGTGTGAGGGGTGTGCCGAATTGGGTGCGGGTGGTGACGCATGCGGGCGGTGCCACTGGGGCCTTCGGTGGAGCTCCCTATGGGGCCACGAAACCTGTTGTTGTGAGGGGTGTGCCGGGATGGGTGGCGGGGGACGCATGTGAGCGCGGCCGCTGGGGCCTTCGGTGGAGCTCCCTATGGGGCCACAAAACGTGTCAGGGGGGTGCCGAATTGGGTGGGTGTGGTGACGCATGTGAGCGCCGCCACTGGGGCCTCCGGTGGATGATGGGGCCACGAAACCTGTCAGGGATGTGCCGAAATGGGTGTGCGGGACGCATGCGCATGTGAGCGCCGCCACTGGGGCCTTCGGTGGAGCTCCCTATGGGGCCACGAAACGTGTGAGGGGTGTGCCGAAATGGGTGTGGGACGCATGCGGGCGCGGGCACTGGGGCCTTCGGTGGAGCTCCCTATGGGGCCACGAAACGTGTGAGGGGTGTGCCGAAATGGGTGTGGCTGACGCATGCGGGCGCGGGCACTGGGGCCTTCGGTGGAGCTCCCTATGGAGCCACGAAACGTGTGAGGGGTGTGCCGAAATGGGTGTGGGTGACGCATGCGGGCGCGGGCACTGGGGCCTTCGGTGGAGCTCCCTATGGAGCCACGAAACGTGTGAGGGGTGTGCCGAAATGGGTGTGGGTGACGCATGCGGGCGCGGGCACTGGGGCCTTCGGTGGAGCTCCCTATGGAGCCACGAAACGTGTGAGGGGTGTGCCGAAATGGGTGTGGGTGACGCATGCGGGCGCGGGCACTGGGGCCTTCGGTGGAGCTCCCTATGGGGCCACGAAACGTGTGAGGGGTGTGCCGAAATGGGTGTGGGTGACGCATGCGGGCGCGGGCACTGGGGCCTTCGGTGGAGCTCCCTATGGAGCCACGAAACGTGTGAGGGGTGTGCCGAAATGGGTGTGGGTGACGCATGCGGGCGCGGGCACTGGGGCCTTCGGTGGAGCTCCCTATGGAGCCACGAAACGTGTGAGGGGTGTGCCGAAATGGGTGTGGGTGACGCATGCGGCCGCGGGCACTGGGGCCTTCGGTGGAGCTCCCTATGGAGCCACGAAACGTGTGAGGGGTGTGCCGAAATGGGTGTGGGGGACGCATGCGGCCGCGGGCACTGGGGCCTTCGGTGGAGCTCCCTATGGAGCCACGAAACGTGTGAGGGGTGTGCCGAAATGGGTGTGGGGGACGCATGCGGCCGCGGGCACTGGGGCCTTCGGTGGAGCTCCCTATGGAGCCACGAAACGTGTGAGGGGTGTGCCGAAATGGGTGTGGGTGACGCATGCGGGCGCGGGCACTGGGGCCTTCGGTGGAGCTCCCTATGGAGCCACGAAACGTGTGAGGGGTGTGCCGAAATGGGTGTGGGTGACGCATGCGGGCGCGGGCACTGGGGCCTTCGGTGGAGCTCCCTATGGAGCCACGAAACAGTGTACTGGGTGGGTGAAGAGGAGAGGAGAAGAGGAGAGGAGAGGAGAGGAGAGGAATGATGATGATAATGATGATGATAATGATGATGATGACGATGATGATGATGATGATGATGACGATGATGATGGTGATGATGATGATGATGGCAGGAGGGAGGGGGCAGCGGGAGGAGGAGTGAACGCGGGCGCTGTCTCTTCAAAACGAGGACCCAACACCACAGGATGGTTGGGAAATATAAGAAAAGATGGGGAGTCCTGTTATTTGTGTGTGTACTTATTTGTGTGTCCCAGGGCCCCTTCATATCATGCGGCTTCTTTGCGGATGAGCAGTCCTGGGCGACGTTCTCGGGACCGATTTCTGGCTTGCGCATGTCGCCGCACATGCCGAACTGGTTGTATTATCATCGGCGACTTCGGACGAGAGCTCTCCGTCGCGCTTAGCCCCCCCCCCTGGTCATGTCAAGCTCTACTTCGGGGAAGCGCGCTGTCAGGTGCCATGGGAGGGACTCGACGGACAAGTACGGGCGTGGCGTTCGTTTTATGTTTGAGCGTGGTCAAACAGCTCTTGGCCCCAAGGAGGCTTCGGGCAAAACCAAACGGCGGGCTCGAGCACAGGCCGTCAAGAGCACAGGCCGCCAAGGCCTGCTGGGCGGCTTGTGACGTCGCCGCCGCCGGCCACGAATTTGGAAAAAGTGCGCTCTGTGCGGCATGGCTCGCGGCATTCTGTTCCATCGCCCGTGCGTCTGCCCCTGCGCCCTGGCTGAAAGATGTGCGGTGCTGGCCAAAAGCCTTCAGGATCAAGCGACTGAGCTTGGTGAGAACCATGCTGGCACGGCCGTTTATTTGCACTGCGTGCTCCGCCACCCTGGAGATTGCGCACCTGCCCCGCTCACGGATGGAGGTGTGGCCCTGGACTGATTCATTGATGCTCTTTTTGGCCTTGCCGATGCTGCTGCCACCCTTTCCATTCCTTCATCAGAAGGCTTTTGCTGTGTGGTGGGGGGGAATTTGTACGGATGGATCATGCCGGTGACGTGTGGTTCGGGGGTTTTCCAGGGCTGAGGGGGCGGTTGCTATGGTTACGTCGTTCAGGGAGCGCCTCGGGGTTGTTAAATGTTTTGTTCTGGACCTCGTGGCCTGGTGCTCCTCAAGTGTCCGAGTTTTCGGCCTTGGCCTGGGCGGCCTTGTGCACCGACGGCCCAGCCAGCTGTTGCTCTGATTGTTCTCATGTAATGTACTGGGTGAATCATGGCGGTCATATAATTCATGCGCGTCACCTTTTCGAAAGTCCTCGCGGGAGAAGCTCCCTTGTCGCACTTTTTCGTTGACACGTATGTTGAGGAAGGTGCAGCCTTGCACCTTGTGGTGTCTTCTACTGAGCTAGATTGCGGCGTCCGTTGGAAAGAGCGGAGCGTTTGCCACATGGCCAGAGCTGGGATCTCGAGGATTCGAGCCATTCCCAGCGTCCCAGTCTCTCGTGCCGCCTGCTCTCTGGATTTCGCCCACGCTTGAGAGCAGTGGGGCTCGCTGTGCTCTGACACGTCCCACCTCTTTTTGCGAATGCCAAACCAGTTTCATTGATGCAACGGCGGTCAAGTTATAGGCGCGGGTCGTGAATGCGGCCCCCCACGGTGGCGTTGTGCAGAACAGGCGCCGTCGCCGTCAAGGCTTCCACCCTGACATTGATGAATTCGTCCCGTTGTGGTAGATTACAGGTGAACCTTTGCCTTCTCAGTGTGCTCCCCGAGTGATGTTGCTCATTACTTTGAACTTTCAGGAGCATGCGCGTCGCTGTCAAAAGCGGAGGCGGAGGAATAGGCGATTGAGACAAACGAAGAGGAGGAGGAGGAGGAGGAGGAGGAGGACGAGGAGGATGAGGAGGAGGAGGGGGAGGAGGAGGAGGAGGAGGAAGAGGAAAAGGAGGAAAAGGAGGAGGAGGAGGAGCAGGGCGAACAGAAAGGTCAAATACATCTTGGATGTTTTTTATTGGGGGGGCCTCTTCGGATGTATCTCGAGAATGTCTTGGGGTCCTCTTGGAGCGTATGAGGTGCCTCTGCGTGGTCTCTTGGGACGTCTTGGGGCCTCTTGGGTGATGCTCTTGGGACCTCTCGGGGAGCCTCTTGGGACCTTTAGGGTTTCTTTGGGGGGCCTCTTGGGGACTTGTTCGGGGCCTCTTGGGGCTTCCAGGCCGCCTTTTGGGGTCCTCTTGGGGTACTCTTGGGAGCCTGGGGGGCCGTCTTGAAGGAGCTCGATGAAAGAATGGAAGGGGGATTAAATTGGCGTCTAGGCCAAACTGGGCCGACCGCCATATCAGGAGTAATGATGTCCACTTTCTTGCCGAGGCCTTCTGGGACGTTCTCATCGGTCGCGACCCCTCCCCTCTAGACCCAAGGGAGGGGGGTATGGGGGAGGGGCGAACCTCTCCCCGAAGAGGATGGGGGGGTTGGAAGAGGAAACGCTCTAGTCTAAACCGCTCGCGCCCTAAAGGGCTGGTGAGATTCTGCTCAGAACGCACCCCAGGAGAGGTCCGGATTTGCGCGGGGGGATCTGTTCACGGTTTCCGGACGTTTTCGTCAGTTCCTGGAGGTTTTCCTGGCTCTGGATGCGTCCCGGCAGCTCCGAATCGCTGAGGGACGTTTGGGGATGCCCAGATCGCCCCGAACGGCCGCGGGCGACCCAAGTGACGGCCCGAAAGCCAGACGACGAGGATCATGGCGGGACGCATCATCCCCCAATCGCCCTTTCACCGCCGATGATGGCCCGATGGCCCTCCCCGCCCCGGAACGCTCGGATTCGCTATCGGGGGCCTATCGCCGATCTATCTGTGATGCATCTACATCGCCTATTTCAGGTCGATGTTCCCCACTGATCGTCGCCCTTCAGAGGTACGCAGGCGCCGAGGTCGTGTGTGAGCCCGCGGCAGTCGCGCTGGCTGGCGCCGGTGCGCACGTCTGGAGCATTGCGGCTGACCCAACGCGGGCCGCCGGCCTGGCAGAACCGCTGGTGCAGCGGTGGCCGTCTGGCTGGGATCAGAGGGTGAAAGGCGACCGCCACCGCCGATATCGCTGCTCGACCTGGAGTCAGCGAGCGAAGAACGGTATAAAATAAACTTTTTCGCTGTCGGGGGCGCCAGTCCTTGGGCGGCTGGAAAGTTTATACCCCTACGGTGCCACCGTAAGGGTATAAGCTTTCCAGCCGCCCAGGGACAGGCGCCCCCGACAGCGAAAAAGTTTATTTTATACCGTTCTTCGCCCGTTAATGGAGGGCCGTCGTCGCCACGTCCGGGTTCTCCACGCAATTCTGTTCAGGACCCGTGGCCCGACCTGGAGAGCCCTCGTCGCCGCGGCTTGGTTTGCACTGGAATTCTGTGCAGATGGCACCCCCGGAGAGGTCCGTGGAGCAGCGGTATTTTCAGGAGGGAAAGAAACACACAGACACAATTAACTCTCGATTCCGAAGAGAATATGGGAAAATATGGGAAGTGGGGGCGAAGACAGAAACCCAGAAAATATGAGAAAATATGCGGAACATGTTTATTTGTGTGTATTTATTTGTGTGTCCTGGGGGCCCTTCAGACAGGCCAGACCTGCTCGGCCAAGGTGGCGGAATGTTTCGGGGTTGGTGGTGGTTTCGTCGGCGTGAGGGCCACAGCCAGGCCGCAGGTGGGCAGCCAGCATGCGTTTATACGACCAGCACGTTCTTTAGACCAGGTGGTGCTCGATGCCCGCGGTCGGGCCGCATTGCCCTTCAGATTATATTATCTGGTGTTGCCGTGGTGCAGGGAGCAGTGTCCCTCTGCGCTGCCATTGAGTGACGCGATAACATTGGGCCGGCTTCGCGACATTCATGCGTAAGCTGCCCGTGTAGGTCGCGCGTACGCGTGGTGTTCCGCGTGAGTGGCCCGCGAAAGACATTGCGTAAGGTGTCCACTTGCGCCGACGCACGAAGCTTTCCTGCACACCCCTGGATTTCTTGTCAGCCTCAGGTGGTCCCCCACGAGTCCGCGCCATGGACTGGGCGGCGGGGCGCAGGGCGCTGGCAGCACAGGCCGTGCTCGGTAGCAACGGGAGGTCGCTCCTCTCGACTTTTCGTGGCGTCGATGAGCCCCCCCCCAAGGCCGGGCTTGCGTCCCAGACACTTTGGCGTCGCGAACAGGAAGAATGATGGGGCGGCGACATACAGCCAACCCGCATAGTAAGGATGGGCAACCTTCCCAAGGGTACATACCCTTGCATCCTTGCTCTTAGGCCCATCCTTGGGCAGTGTCGTTGGCCGCGCCCCGCTCGAAAAGCTTCGAAATGGGCGTCCAAGGCCCTTGCACCCTTATCGCGCATCCTTACTATCCGGGTTGACTGTAGCCGCCAGACCGGCCGTCAGGCCTACACGAAGGGCGGCGACGAGGCGGCGACAGTAGCGACCTATCCGCCGGAGCGGCAGACAGGCCCAGACGACGGGCGGCCAGGGGGTGCCGACGGGCGGTGACGGGCCGGCGACGAGGCGGAGACAGGGCGGCGACGGCGGCGACATAGCCGCCAAAGCGGCAAACATCAAGCAATGGCGAAGCGTCCTGGCTCGCCTACAGCCCTACCAAACAAGATTCTAAGAACCTTTTGTGGTCTCCACGACATGTTCTTAGAACATTTCTGGTTGAGATTCTCGTGTTTTAACACATCGGGTTGATGTTCTAAGAACATTGTTTTTGTCCTTAGAACATTTTCGGGTTCTACGAACATATCGTGGTAGGACTATAGGAATGCCGGGACGGTCGGTCCCTGCTCAAGCTTGGGGAATGAATATCCGCCACCGTGCCTCTGGGCACGGAGTGGGCGTGTCCTCAGGTCCTGTGCCTGATCCCTGGAGCCTCAGCCCTCGGTCCTCAGGAGTCTTTCAAAGCCCAGGACCACAACATTTCCTGAACATCTGGGCTCCCTGGGCTCCAGCGCGTCTCCCTGGGCTCCGGCGCGTCTCCCTGGGCTCCGGCGCGTCTCCCCGCGTGAATCGTTCTGGCCCGAGAAGGCCCGAAGACAGGCCAAGAGGGTTCCAAGAGGCGCCCAAGACGGTCCGGGAGGTCCCCGATGCGCCGAAAGGTCGTTCCAACACGCCCACGGTGCTCAAAGATGGCCCACGGGGCCTCCAAGAAGCCTCCCAAGAGGATCCAAAGAGGCACACATCTTGGATTCCCGTTTAGTTTGAAAGGTTTTGGGCGTTCTCGCCTTTCCTGTTTTCTGACGCTCCAACACGGCCCAAGAGGCCCACCAAACCATCCCAAAATGGCCCAAGAGGCCTCCGCCCCAACACGGCCTACGAGCGACCTAAGACGGTACAAGAGGCGCCCAGGACGGCCCAAGAGGGCCCCAAGACGGCCCCATATGGGCCCCAAGAGAGGGAACACGAACCAAACAAAAAAAAACGCCTTCCGCCCCAAGAGGCCCCCAGGAGGCCCCAAGAGGCGCCCAGGAGGCCCCCATTAGGCCCTCGAGAGGCCCCAGGCAGGACAGGATGTCCCCAAGAGGCCCAAAAGATGCCCCGATAGACGCCGAAACGGTCCCCAGGAGGTCTCCAAGCTGCCTACAAGAGGCCCCCGAGAGGCCTCGCTGGAGCCACGAGATCACAACAAGCATCCAATAGGCTGCATACCCACAACCCAGGCACGAAGGCGAGATGGGCCGAAGGTCATTCTGTGTGTATACACACACATATATATATATATATACATACATACATACATATATATAATATACTCACCTATGTGTATACAATGCCGGAGTGTTGGGCCCCATGGCCCCCTGCCGGCACACAATGACAAATGGAGCCACCCCCTGGGTACCCCATTTAGCCCCCTGGGGTGCGGTTTTCTTTCGGAGCTCTGGGGGTGTATTTCGGCTTCGAGAGTAATCGAAGTCACAAGTTCGACGGCCAAGCGTCGCCAGGAGACCGACAACATGGCCAAGCCATGCCCTAGACGGCCCAGCATTCTGCAAATATCCCTCCTACACGCCTCCAAGACGGTCCAAGAGTGCCTGCAAGAGGCCTCCGAGAGCTGAACATCATTGATTGCCCCATGCTTTTTTTATGGATTTTCTGCGCACTCGCTTTCTTCATCGTCAGAGCGTCTGAGACGGCAAAGGGGCGCCGACGGGGGTGCCCGGGCAACACCCCGCAGGCGCCAGCGTGTCCTCCGACGGCGACCGCCTGCAGGACGGCCTGGACCGGGCCTGGTCCCGCGGCCTCCAGCGGGGGAGGCCCTCTCGCAGCCGTCGTGCCGTCGCCGCCGTTGCCGTCACCCTGATCGCCGTCGTCGCCATCGCGATGGCCGTCGTGGTCGTCGCCGGCCGTCGCCGCCGTCGAGAGCGCCGCCGCCGTTTCCGGAGGCGTCGGCGGAGCTTCGTGGTCGCCACGGCCGTCGTGGTCATCGCCGTCGGTGTCGGCATCTGCTTTTGCTGGGGCACGCCCCTGCTTGTATGCGCGGTGCCACGCGGAGAGGGTCTCGTTTACGCTTGCCGCAGGAACACTCGAGCGATGACTGCGGCAGATTCGCGCCGCGTCGATGCGGCAGTGACACCAGAGCAGGCGATCAATGTTGAAAGCCATTTGCGGCCTGAGCCACAGGAGCCTTGAGCGATCTCCGCTGCAGGATAGCGGAGATCGCTCAAGATTGAACGATGCGCGCGAAGCCAGAACGAACGTTTGCTTTGACACGATATTGATTCGCCGTGTGGATTCTGACGCTTCTGCCTCTCTTGGGTTCTCTGTTGGGTAGAGCGCCAGGACCGCCAGTAAAGGACGCCAGTTGTGTTCGTGACAGGCTCTGAAAACCACAGGCCAGCCCAAACGGTTGCACTTGTGCGTGCGCGGTGACCCGTTCCGTGCCAGAGTCACCAGGCCCGTCTATTCTTGTTGTTTTCTTGGTAGCCAGCGGGGTTTTTGTTGGCGGGTGCAGCGGGAGGCGACTCTGCGGCATTGCGTCGCGGTGCCGCAGGGCGCCTCCAGTGTCTATGGCATTAATCTGTGTCTGGCTGCTCGTGGTGCTGTCACTGCCCGTTTCTTCGGGGGCCCCTCTTGGCCATTGCCGGACGCGACGAAGTGGCCAGGATAGACCTCAGCGGAGGTCTAGAGATTGATGGTGTGTGGCTTTCGAGCGGGGTCCTTTTGGGACACCCACAGGGGCGCGAGGGGAACGGGGGCGGGGGATGTTGCTACTGAGCAGTTGATTGCAAGGGTGGGAGTCTGGTTCGTTGCTGGTTTCGCCCAGGGGACGCTGATATTATAGACGCTTCGCGTCATCCCACCAGCCTATCCAAAAATGGTCGCCCCGATCAGGGATGTGGAGGAGCATGCAGTGGAGTAAAGGGCCTGGGAAGCCATAGCGAGGAATGGATGAAGGAGAAGCGAGAGGGATAGAAGGAGGAGAATGGATGAAGGAGAAGCGAGAAGTAGGAGGAGGAATAGACGGAGGAGGAGGAGGAGGAGGAGGAGGAGGAGGAGGAGGAGAGGAGGAACAGACGGAGCAGGAGGAGGAGGAGGAGGACGAGGAGGAGGACGAGGAGGAGGAGGAGGAGGAGGAGGACGAGGAGGAGAAGGAGCAGAAGGGTCAGAGGTCTCTTGGAGGCATCATGGGGGTATCTTGGCGGTCCCCCGGGCCTCTTCTGGCGTCTTTGGTGCCTCTAGTGCCTCTTGGGGCCCTTTGGAGCCGCTTGGGAGCCTCTTGGGGGCGTTCGCTATGATGAGATCTTCCTTGGGGGGCTACGAGGCCACTTGGACTCGTCTTGGACTGATATTGGGGTCTCTTGGAAGCATATCGGAAGACATCCTGAGCGATCTTTCATTATCTTGGGTCATCTTGAGTATCATCGTGGGCTCTTGGAGGCCTTCTTGTAGCCATTTTGTGCCCAACACCACCCTCTCACATCTCGCGACCCCCACCCCTCCAGGTCTAGGGGGTCGAGCAGCGCGCTTTCCGACTCCTCCGGGCCGATCTGAATCGATCCGACTCGATGCGAACATGCCGATTCACTATTCCGATTTCGAGTTCGCCCGATCCGACTCCCGCAGATTCGATGTTTCAACCGACTTCTGCCGACTTCTCCCGATCCAGTTTCGCTCCAGGGCAGCAGGGAGGATCCTCGTCGACGATGGCGACGGCGGCCTCCGGCGGCGACGTCGACGGCGATGGCGTCGTCCACGGTGATGTCGACGGGGGAGGCGAGGCTGGCCGCAGGCCTCGGCCCTCGATTCGGAGGGATCCCCCCCGAGGAGGAGGAGGACGGAGGAGGGGGGGAGGGAGGGAGGGGCGACGACGGCAACCCTTCCGAAGGGGTCCCCAAGGGGCTCCCGACGTCCCCACTTACGGGTTTCCAGGGGGGCCACGAACCCTTTCAGGCCCCCTGGGGGGGGGGTCGCAGGTTCGCACACACCCCCTCGGGGGAGGTCCACAAGCCGCCATGCGGGGGGGTGTCCACAACCCCCCCCCTCCCAGCCCGGCGGGAGGGTCCGCGAACACTCCCCCCTGCGGGGTTCCACAGACCTCCCCCCGAGGGGGTCTGCAAACCCTCCCCGCGGAGGGGTTCACAACTTCCCTCCTTGGGGGGGGGGGTCCGCGAACACCCCCCCCTTGATGTGGGTCTGCCAACCCCTTTCTGGGGCGGGGTCTCGCAGGCAGGACTCCGAGCTCCGACGGCGTCGGACGACGTGCGACGATTCACGACGACGACTGCGACGGCTTGCGACGACGTCGGACGACTCACGGCAATTTTTCGAGTAGGGGATCGGCTACATGATTGATGTGTGCCAATTTGATTTGCTCGTCGAATCCATGAGAGATGCGTGGAATTTTGTAGGTCTACGAACATTATGCAAATGACTCGACGAGAAAATCAATTCCGGGGTAAATCAATTCTGTAGTTGATCCCCCACTCAAATGTTCGACGGACAGAGATGTCAGTAACGAGTCCCACCAGAGGACGCGCGGATTGTGTCTGCCGATCTCGATTCCGATCTGGCGTCCGTCCAGCTGGTTTTCGCATCGATCCGACTCGGCCTTGCCGACTCTTGTCGATTTCGATTTGGCAGCAGATTTCTGCCGATGTCTGCCGAGTCGATGTTCGGGCACCCTGTCAGGGGGAGGGGTAAATCCCTCCCCAAAGAGGAGACGCTCTAAACCACTCAAGCCCCAAAGGGCTGGTGAGATTTGGTATTTTGCTCGGGAGGGTTTGCACGGGGCTTCTTGTACAGCTGGGGTGCGTAGTTAGCTGTGGCGTCAGTGATTGCGCGCTGATCGATGACGTGTCGTCGGAGAGGTATCATGTCAGAGGGAGGGGGTCGCACGGTCCTACACCGTTCCTAGGTGCCTCGCGCCTCATCATATTATGGATTCGTGATCTCAAATGGGACCCTTTTAGCTGGCAATGCTTCAGTGTCCCGCCCGACCCGCGCACGTGGGCCCGCCTGCCCTTGCCGTCGATGGGTTCCGACCGTTCACTCTCGTGTCCCGCCCGACACGCCCGTCGGGGTCCGCCCGGCAAGTGTGCTCGGCCCGTCCGGCCCGCGCGTGAAGGTCCGCCCGACCGACCTCCTCCTGCCCCCCCCCCTCTTCCGTTCTTTTGCCCAGAAGGCCGCCCGCCCGCTTTCATGCCCCGTCCGGTGGGTCCGCCCGTCCACCCGACCCATCCCTCAGGGTCCGCCTGTTCGACCCGCCCGGTGGGGCCGCCCGCCCGACCCGCCAGTCAGGCACTGCGTGCCAATCTTCCTGCTCATCTATCCGCCCCCTCCTGCTAATCCTGCTGAGTCTCATTCGTCCTCAATCATTATCCCTTCCTTCTTCCCCCCTTCCTTCTCGCTTCCTCTATTCATGTCCCTCGCTTCTTCCCGTTTTCAGGGCCGCACCAAGTATACGTGGCAGGCAAGGAAGATGCCTCACCGCAAAGAAGGTACCATCGAAGACAAAGATGGCTTGGGGGGTATGTATGTCGATCGACACGAAAGCAACGAAGACCGAATAGTCTTACGTATAACGAGTGTTGCTGCTTTTCGTCGTCGACTCGCGCGACTGGCCCGCGACCCATCCACGACCCGCATGCAACCCACACGTGACCCGCCCGCGACCCACGCGCGACACATTCGCGATCCACTCAAATTGTTGACAGACCATCAGCCCCGTTGGCGGGCCCGTGGCGCAATGTGGAAAATCATGGACATTTGTTTTCGAGCCTCGCGATGGCGATCACGGGCGTGACTGTTACGATTTGCGCTGGCGCCGTCCAGGAATGCTTAGGAATGGATAGTTCCCAGACGGGGCTGGCGCGAATCGTGACGTGACCAGGAGGAGGGAGGGGGGGGGGGCGGGGCCGGTCACAGGCGTGATCGCGAAAAAAAAGTACTGGGATCGCGAGGCCCCTCGGAGGGCAGACACTCGCTGCTTCTTTGCGAGGAGGAGGCCTGGGCCTTAGCCATCGGGTCGAACGAGGCCTCTCGCCGTGCCTCAGGCGCGAGACCCGCGCTGGGCGGCCGCGCGGCGGCGCCGGCCCCGCGGGAAGCTTCGCGGGCGGCGCTGGCCCCGCCAGCAGCAGTGCTGGCGCGGGACCCGCGGGCGGCTTCGGCGAGGCGAAGATGCTGGCGCCGCAGCAGGCTCCAGGGCTCACGAGGGGCGAGGGTTCCGAGGCCGGATTTTTTCCATATCCACCGCCTGGAGGGTCAGTTTTCAGAGCCTAGGCAGGCGGTGGATATGAACATATTCGGGCCCCCGGGGGCCGATATATCCATATCCACCGCCCGCTGGGGCACCAGGACGTCGGTTCCCAGGCGGTGGACATGGATAAATCCCAGCCTCGCAAGGGTGAGGGGAGACAAGACATCGGCTCGTGGGCGGAGGCGCAGCCATTCGTGCTGTCCACGGCCCGGCGGGCCGGGCCCCCCCGGGCCGCGGCCCCGCGGATACCCCTGGGCCTTTTGGTTCGCGGCTGCCCCGTGCGCAGCGAGTCCATGCGACCGCGTACCCACGGGGTCGCGGCTGGTTAAAAAATTCACAACCTACGTATTTTATGAATTTAATCAATTGTGTTTGAATTGTGTTTGAATTGTGTACAAATAAATATAATTTGTTGTCCTATATCATGTCCAGCAAATTTTGCAAATGCTCCATCTTTACCAAATAAATATTGTCTTATTGTTATCTTCGTATGTGGGAGCGAAGATGGATATTTGGATTCCAGGCCGCAAGCGCGCGGATACGGTTTTAGTTGGGTAGTCGAAGGCCAGACTAGCAGATTGGATCTGGCCCCAAGGGCCAATCTGGCCTGGCCAAGTTGGAGGATTTGGGTTATTCGCCAGGCTGGATTCGCGTTGGATGCCTCGCCAGATTGTCCCCTTTGTCAGATTGGGCCTGCCAGATTGGCTTCGATTACCAAATTTTGTGTGCCTGCTGGAGGCAAACATTCTTGGTGAAGGCGGCTTCTGTGAACTCTTTTCCTTCAGCTGTCAGTGGGCAATGTTTGCCGCCATCGAGATTCCGAAATTGTTTGGCGTCGGGCGTTTTTGGGGGGCCTCTGGGGGTGGCTATTCGCCTCCCCAGTGAGATTCTGGTAAAGGCGTAACTAATGACGGGGCGAATGCTCGTGCTGCCGCCGGTGCAGGCTGCAAGGCTCTGCGAGGGGGGAGCTCCCAAACAGTAGAAGGAAGTGGTTTCTCCTTCTCCTCCCCCTCCTTCTCCTCCAGTTCCTCCTCCCGTACGTTTCCGTTGCTGCTCTCTCCCCCGAATTGGGCGTGCGCCCCGCCGCCTTACGGCCGGAACAAGGCCACAAGAACATCGGACAAGAACATGAGACCCTCCGCGGGCCAAAGTACCCCAAACCATAAGGACGTCGAGGACGCCCTTCCGAGGTGTCCCCGACCTTCACTTCCGAGCCAACGTGCGTAAGTACGCATCTGGTTCAGCCCCCAGCCTAAAGCCTTCGACTGCACAGCCTGGACCACGCAACCCCGAAGCCCTGACCCCCCCCCCGCCCCCCGAGACCCACGCTGTGTTCCTGTGCCCTGGATCTGCCTCCGCGCGTCCGTCGTCATCCACGAGCGCGCGGTTGCTGGAGGCAGCACGTTGACATCGAGACCGAAGAACATGGAGGGTCTTGCCCGCGCCGCGGACGCGCGAGGCCTGCGACCAGCTTAGTCGGGCTCTAGCAGTGGGCCTCAGCGCCACGTCTCACGCCCTGGCACTCATGCACGCGCGCGAGCTCTCGCCCCAACCCCGCGGCGCCCCAGGGAGCCTCGCGCGACCTCGCCTGCTCGCCCCAGACTCAAGGCCGCGGCCGCGCGGCCTGGCCCCCGCCACCCCAGGCCCAGCTCCAGGCTGCTGTTGCCCCAAAACAAGAACGTGCGAGGGTGTGCGTCTCCGCGCCGCCGTCATCCACGAGCGCGCGGCTGCTGGAGGCGACACATTGACACCGAGACCGAAGAGCATGGAGGGTCCTGCCCACGCCGCGGACGCGCGAGGCCTGCGGCCAGCTTAGGGCTCTAGCAGTGGGCCTCAGCGCCACGTCTCACGCCCTGGCACTCATGCACGCGCGCGAGCTCTCGCCCCAACCCCGCGGCGCCCCCAACAACTCTGGGTTTTGCAGCGGCGCAACTCGTGGGTTTTGGTGCATGTGTTCCAGGCCAACATGGCGACTCTTCTATTGCCGATAACGCGAAGCTCCGCACGCGCACACGCCGCCGCGCGCGCGGCGCAGGCGCGCGCGAGGAGTGTTTGTCTGCGCTGTTGTAGAACACATGCACCAAAACCCATGTTAACTTCGCAATCCAATCGGCAACCACTAAGGGTTCACTTTGATTTCCCAGGCCAACATGGCAACTTTTCTGTTGCTGATAACGCGGGGCGCCCCACGCGCACGCGCCGCCGCGCGCGAGGGGTTGTTGTATACGCCGTTGCAAGACACGTACACCAGAACCCATGTTGACTTGGAAATCCAATCGGCAACCGCTAGTGGTCCACTTTGATTCTCCAGGCCAACATGGCGCTTCTTCTACTGCTGATAACACTGAGCGCCCCACGCCCCTGCGCCGCCGCGCGCGCGGCGGCGCCGCCGCGCGCGCGCGAGAAGTGTTTGCATGCGCCGCTGCAGAACACATGCACCAAAACCCATGTTAACTTGGAAATCAAACTGCCCACTTCCAAGGGCTCCCTTTGAATTCCCCAGTCAACGCGGCAACTGTCCTATTGCTGGCGCTGCGGCGTTTCTCGCGCGCGCGCGCCGCCGCGCGCGCGGCGGCGCAGGAACGCGCGAGAAGTTTTGCGCGCGCTGTTGCAGAAGACATGCACCAGACCATGTTAACTTGGAAATCCAAGTGGCAACCGCTAAGGGTTCACTTTGATTTTCCAGGCCAACATGGCGACTCTTCTATTGCCGATAACGCGAAGCTCCGCGCGCGCACACGCCGCCGCGCGCGCGGCGGCGCAGGCGCGCGCGAGGAGTGTTTGTCTGCGCTGTTGTAGAACACATGCACCAAAACCCATGTTAACTTCGAAATCCAATCGGCAACCACTAAGGGTTCACTTTGATTTCCCAGGCCAACATGGCAACTTTTCTATTGCTGATAACGCGGGGCGCCCCACGCGCACGCGCCGCCGCGCGCGCGGCGGCGCGGGCGCGCGCGAGGGGTTGTTGTATACGCCGTTGCAAGACACGTACACCAGAACCCATGTTGACTTGGAAATCCAATCGGCAACCGCTAGTGGTCCACTTTGATTCTCCAGGCCAACATGGCGCTTCTTCTACTGCTGATAACACTGAGCGCCCCACGCCCCTGCGCCGCCGCGCGCGCGGCGCCGCCGCGCGCGCGGCGGCGCAGGCGCGCGCGAGAAGTGTTTGCATGCGCCGCTGCAGAACACATGCACCAAAACCCATGTTAACTTGGAAATCAAACTGCCCACTTCCAAGGGCTCCCTTTGAATTCCCCAGTCAACGCGGCAACTGTCCTATTGCTGGCGCTGCGGCGTTTCTCGCGCGCGCGCGCCGCCGCGCGCGCGGCGGCGCAGGAACGCGCGAGAAGTTTTGCGCGCGCTGTTGCAGAAGACATGCACCAGAAACCATGTTAACTTGGAAATCCAAGTGGCAACCGCTAAGGGTTCACTTTGATTTTCCAGGCCAACATGGCGACTCTTCTATTGCCGATAACGCGAAGCTCCGCACGCGCACACGCCGCCGCGCGCGCGGCGGCGCAGGCGCGCGCGAGGAGTGTTTGTCTGCGCTGTTGTAGAACACATGCACCAAAACCCATGTTAACTTCGAAATCCAATCGGCAACCACTAAGGGTTCACTTTGATTTCCCAGGCCAACATGGCAACTTTTCTATTGCTGATAACGCGGGGCGCCCCACGCGCACGCGCCGCCGCGCGCGCGGCGGCGCCGCCGCGCGCGCGGCGGCGCGGGCGCGCGCGAGGGGTTGTTGTATACGCCGTTGCAAGACACGTACACCAGAACCCATGTTGACTTGGAAATCCAATCGGCAACCGCTAGTGGTCCACTTTGATTCTCCAGGCCAACATGGCGCTTCTTCTACTGCTGATAACACTGAGCGCCCCACGCCCCTGCGCCGCCGCGCGCGCGGCGGCGCCGCGCGCGCGGCGGCGCAGGCGCGCGCGAGAAGTGGTTGCATGCGCCGTTGCTGAACACATGCGCCAGAGCCCATGCTAACTTGGAAATCTGACTGGCGACGCTGAAGGTTCACTTTGATTTTCCAAGCCAACATGGCGACTCTCCTATTGCTGACAACGCGGGCCTCTTAACTCGCTTTCGGCAGCGCAGACGCGCATGTCAAGTTTTGCGTGGCCCTCGGTAGGACGCACGCACACGCGCACGCACGCACGCACGCGCGCACATACCCCGCTCTGATGCCCAACAACCGCCAAACTCTCTCCTAGGAACATGCGAGGGCGATTCCTTTCGCGCCACCATCATCCAGGGGGACGCGGTTGCGGATGGCCGCACCTTGACATCGAGACCGAAGAGCATGGAGGGTCCTGCCCGCGCCGCGGATGCGCGAGCCCTGCGGCCTACCCCATGGGCCTTAGCATAGGACCGACGTCAGCGCTACGTCCTGAACGTCATCCGCACATCCAACCTCTCAGCCCTGCCGCAGCCCAGGAAGCTGCGCGTGGCTTCGCCCGCCCGCCCTAGCCTCATGCCTGCAGCCGCGCACCCTACTCTCCGAAACCTGAAGCCCACCAGCGCCAAGTTCTCCCCTAAGAACATGCGAGGGTGATTGCACTCACGCCGCCATCATCAAGGGGCACGCGGTTGCTGGAGGCCGCACCTTGACATCGAAACCGAAGAACATGGAGGGTCCTGCCCGTGCCGCGGACGCGCGAGCCCTGCGGCCTACGTGCGTACGTAGCCTCAATCAAGCCTGCATCCGCGCGCCCTAAGCCCCGCAGCCCGAAGCCCACCAACGCCAAACAGTCCCCTAAGAACATGCGAGGGTGATTGCAATCGCACCACCATCATGAAGGGGCACGCGGTTGCTGAAGGCCGCACCGTGACTTCGGGACCGAAGAACATGGAGGGTCCCGCCCCCGCCGCGGACGCTCGTAGCCGAATCGTGAGCCCCGAACCCCAGCTTTGTCAGAACGAAGGAATAATGGCGCCAAACTGAAGAACATCGAGGATACCCTCCCCCAGGGTGCACAAGAACATGGAACAAAAACGAAGAACATAAGGGTACCCTCCCCGAAACACCGAAGTTCTTAAGGCTTGTGCTGCCGTACCTGAACGGACTGCAGACATGGATGTGTGCGCGTTGCGGTGACAAACAAAACTGCTGTCCCCCCACCCCTTGTCACCACCAGCTTTCCTTTTGCCCTGCGGCCACCACCATCTTGTCATGGGTCCCGCTTGCCAAAACATGTTGTCTCTGTTTAAACAACATAGTTTGCCTCTCTGGTGTTTCCCAAGAGCTCGTTGCCACGGTGAGAGGCCACAGCCGTCACAGAGCGCACTTTGGAGAGTGCCAGGGGCCGGTCTTCCATAGGAGAGGGTGGGCCACCCTCTCCTATGGAAGACCGGCCCCTGGCCCCTTAGTGGAAAAGGTCCCGCTGTCTTTCGCCTTTTCTGGCCGTCGGGCCCCTCCCAAGGTTTCCGGCGGGTGTGTAAACAGATGGGTGAAAGGCCTGGTGTCCATTGAGGACTCGTTCCTTCGTTGTCCATAGGGAAAGTGGGGCGCGAAGTATGAGAAGGAGGGGGGCACGGGTAGGATTGGGGGCAGAGGGGCGGGGAGCAACAAATCCTCACCTTGAGTTCTGCTTCCTCGGGGTGGTGTCCAGCTCGGCTGGGAGTGGTGTCTAGCTTGGCTGGGAGGATGGCTTGCGTCGCAACCTACGAGAACCGCCCACAGGAGTCATGTTGCTGAGGTCCCGACGTGGTTTTGTGGCCGCGGAGAGAGTACCTCACGCGTTGTTCCGACAGCCAGTTCGATGTACCCGTGTGCATCAAGCATGAACAACGTTAGGGGGGAGCGCGTCGACCCCTAGCTGCACGTTGGTTCGATAGGTGCCCGATCACCGAATTTCCCCTGGAATCGCGAGGGGCCAACATTTGGGACCAATCGCTGGTCCATCGGCTACGCATCGCCGATTCCAGATCGATGCTTCCCCCCTGGGGCCCTCCTTCGATCCTACAATGGAGTGCATATGTGCGTTGATGAGTGCCCACCCGCTTTGGGTCTGATCGCCGGTGACCCGGGCCAGCCTTGCCTGAACGCGTGCATGTGCACGCATCGATTAGGCGTAAGAGTGACCTTTCGCTGGAGTGACCTTTGGTGCGAGCCCAATGGGCCCCCCGATCGAATATCTCGTGGCGGCAGTGGCGTCTTGCGCGCTTGTGTTTGGCCACCCCGCGGCCCCCAAAAGCCGCGCACCAAAGGTCACTCTTACCCAGGGTCACTCTTGCATGTAGCCGAACGCACCAGGCACCGCTTCCATCGCCGGTCCTGCCGGAGCCGGTTGTTGCAGGCGGCGATGGCGGCGCAGAACGGTTCCCGCTCAAGGCCCTGGAGTTGCATGCGGCGGACGTGGCGCTTGGGCACTGAACCGCAGTGATAAGACGCCGCGCGTGGGATGCATGGGGGGGATCATTGTCGTTGAGGAATTCTCTGGTGGGGAGGCCTTCGAGATGTGCGTGGGTGCATGAGCTAGCGTGGGCTCATCAAGGTCCTCGAGGGTGTCGTGGGCCCCTTGGCCGAAGTACCGCCCAGCTGGCCCCCAGCCAGCGCCGCGCCGGGCCGTCCCGAGTGGACGTCCAGCTGAACCCAGGGCGCCCAGGGATATTTGGAACGCGTCCAAAACTACCAAATGCAGTCCAAAGTGATTGCAAAGAGACTCCCAAGAATGGCCCAGGAGGCCCGAAGATAATCCCGGAGAGGCCCCCGAAAAGGCAACAATCATTTATGTGCCTTAGGTTTTCGCGCCATTCTCGTATCGCCGCCTTTTCGGCCGTCAGAGCGCCCGCGATGGTTCTAGCGGTCCATCGATATCGCCCCTACGTTGCCCAAAATGGCTTCAAGAGAGCCCTGGGAAGGGCCCAAGACGGCCCACAGGCTGCCGAAGACGGCCCGAAGACGGCCCCGAGAGACCCCGGATCCAAGCTGGTCCAATAGGAGCCAACCCGCCTCAAGAGGCCTCCACGTCGACCCCCAAACAGCCCCAGATGGACCCCCCCAACAGAGCGGCCCACTCTCCCTTTCAGTATTTCACTTTTTTCTCAACGGGGACTTTTTTCTGGGCAGAGGCAGGTCAATACTTTATCCATGTTATCCCTTAGTCTCACGCCCCCTGGACGGCTGGAGGGGGGATCGAGAACTGTGGGCACGGGGGTGCCTCGGGAGGGCTGCATTGCCCCGGTTTCTCTTTTCTCCCGACTCGGGCCCGCCGCCACTGTGCGGTCGCCGCCGCGAACGAAGAGCTGTCACGGGGGAGCGGCCTGGTAGAGCGCGTTCGGACCACCTCCCCGATTTCTGCTGGGGCGCCCTCCCCAGCCGCGATGAGCGGCCACGGACAGGGCGGCCTGGAGGAACGTGTTCTGCCCACATCCCTGGCTTCTGGGGCGCCCCCCCCCCGGCGTGAGAAGGCTGTCACGGGAGGGTCTCTCTGGAAAAGTGATTTCTCGACCACGTTCCGTTCACGCGCCTATGAGCCGTCCAGGGGGTTCTTTCCTGCTCAGTGGGTGTAGGACCCCTTCGGGGCACCTGGAAACCACAGGGAGCGTTGCGAGGTGGCCCTGGGAGGAGGGGGGGCGCGCTCTTTCCATTCCGCACCAGACGGCAGGAGGCGGAGGGCGAGGATCATTCAGCAGGAGAGGGCAAAGGGAGAGTCGGGTCAAGCTTGGGAGTAGGAGCAGGGGGTGTCGGACTAGAGTCAGAGGCCGCGCGCTGTGAGGCTCACGTGAAGCCCCAGAATGGTTTTTTTCGTGAGCACTGAGCCCGGCCCTCATTGTGACCTGCTGTCGCCCGCGCGGGGTGTCTCAGAATTTGCTCGGAGGCGCCCCCCACGAGTGCATGAGCCAGTTGAGCTGAACTCGGCCCGAGAACCGTGGCCCGTTCATGGCTCTCTTCCCTCCTGAAGCCGCAGGTGCCGGCCCCGGGTGGCCTCGATGGCCGTGGCGCGGCCGCAGGCGGCGACCCAGCGGCTTTGCAAGCCGAGGTGAACTTCTTGCGCGGACCCGCCCCCGCGCGGCCAGGGCCAGCGCTTCTCTCCCACGCCAGGCGGTCGTCTTCGAGGGATGGATGCGTGTTCCTCTCGCCCTCGGCCTGGCGGCGCGACCAGGGAAGAGGGCAGAGGGGGCGGGCCTTTCTCACAAGAGTCCGAGGGCCGCAGAAAAGCCCTCTCAAAAGCTGCGTAACGCTTCTGAGGAGGGTTCAGTCGGAAACTGGAACATATACATTACCAGTGGCGGGCTTTGTTTCAATCCCACGACTTTTTGAAGGTCGGGGGCGACGTTGGGGTGGTGTGGTGTATGCGTCTCCCCCGTCTTCCACGGGAAACAGCGAAACACGTATACACCATAATACCGTATACACCAGGATCCGCGTTCCTGTGCGAATTTCAGCGCAGGGTCGGAAAAAGCGTCGGGGTGTAGAGCTCGTTTCCCTATCAAGGGCATCGCAGAAGCCCCGCGCCTTCCAAGACAGCCTGCCTTCTCTCACGCCCCACCTCGGAGAGCCACCGAGCGGAGAAAGGGGGTCGAAAGCTGGCCGCAGGTGGCTGAACTGAAGCCCGCGGAAGCGAGAGCAGAGGTCCTCCTCGTCCTCCTCCTCGTCCTCCTCCTCCTCCTGCTGCTCGTCCTCCTCGTCCTCCTCCTCGTCCTCCTCCTCGTCCTCGTCCTCCTCCTCCTCGTCCTCCTCGTCCTCCTCGTCCTCCTCCTCCTCCTGCTCCTCCGGTTCCCACAGAGAGGTCAGCGCTGGCGTGCCCAGGTCGGCCACGCCAGCCTGCGGGCACACCTCTCCGCGGGAGGCGGAGCGGCACCACCACCAGGGAGGGCCCGGCCCGTCGAGATCCAGGAGGCCCGCGATGCCCCCCGAGCTGGAGAGGGGACGTGCCTCGAACGGGACGCCGCGGAACGCGGAGGGACGACCACCCAGCGGGGCTAGGTTGGATCCAGGCTCGTGGTGGGGCGGGAGGCAGGAGGGGAAAAGACACACAGACACGATTGATCGTCCACTCCCCAGAAAATATGGGAAACTATGGGAAGTGGGGGGGAAGACAAAAACCCAGAAAATATTGGAAAATCAGAGTGAGGGGGCCGAACGGTCATTCACTGTCCCTGGGTGCGTGGCTGATGTGGAATTCCGCGGTGCGGATTCTTGTTGTTGTTGTTGTTGTTTGTTGTTGTTGTTGTTTGTTGTCGTCGTCCCACCCGCAACCCGCCCCGCGACCCACCCGCGACCCACCCCGCGCGACCCACCCCGCGACCCACCCCGCGACCCCCCGCGACCCGCGACCCACCCCGACCCACCCACGCGACCCACCCCGCGACCCCCCCGCGGCCCACCCCGCGACCCACCCGCGACCCACCCGCGACCCACCCGCGACCCACCCGCGACCCACCCGCGACCTACCCCGCGACCCACCCGCGACCCACGACCCAAACCACGTTCAAGGTACAAACCACAATTTTCGGCGCCTGCGGCGGGCTTTTTTGCATTCCTTCCAAGTGGAGAGCCCGCGACACATCCCGTGACCAACTCGCGACCAACCCGCGACCCAAACCACGTTCAGGGTACAAACCACATTTTTCGGCGCCTGCGGCGGGCATATTTTGCATTCGTTTCAGGTGGAGAGCCCGCGGCCCACCCGCGACCACGTTCAGGGTACAAACCACATTTTCGGCGCCTGCGGCGGGCATCCTTTGCATTCGTTCCCTGTGGAGAACCCGCGGCCCACCCGCGACCCAAACCTCGTTCCGTGTACGAACCAATTTTTTTGGCGTTTGCGGCGGGCTGCTTTTGCATTCCTTCCAGGTGGAGGTGGAGAGCCCGCGACCCACCCGCGACCTAAACCACGTTCACTGAACAAACCAATGCCGCACAAGCGCGGCGGCGGATTCTTGCATGCCGTCTGAGCCCGCAAGGACCTCTTCACGCCCCGCACATCCACGCCAGCCCGTCCAGCAACTTTGCCCTGGCGAGTTGCCTTGATCAGAGAAGGCGGGGAGCATAAAGTGGAAAAAAGATTGCGTTGCAGTTATCTTGGGAAAGGAGGGGGAGGCAGGATGAGTAAACAGGGGACGAGGAGAACGTGGAAGAAGAGAGGATGTAAGGAGAACGTGGAAAAAGAAAAGGAGGAGGAGCAGGAGGACGAGGGGGAGGAGGGGGAGGAGGGGGAGGAGGAGGACGAGGAGGGGGAGGATGGGGAGGATGATGATGATGGACGACAATGGGAGGACGATGATGGAGGCCGATGAGGGGGAGGACGACAATGGGAGGACCATGATGAGAAGACGAGGGGGGGAGAGGGAGGACGAGGAAGAGGAGGAGGAGGAGGAGGAGGAGGAGGACGAGGTGAAGGAGGAGGATGACGATGACGATGAGGACGAGGAAGAGGAGGAGGAGAAGGAGGAGGAAGAGGAGGAGGAGGAGGAGGTGGAGGAGAGCGCCATCGACAAGGAAGGTGGGGGCCACGAGGTCCGCCGGCTCGACGACGCCCGCGTCGCCCGCGCCCGCCCCCTCACTCTTATCCGCAATTGCGGGGTGCTACGTATACGACATATTTCTACTTGTGTGTATTTATTTGTGCGTCCCAGGGCCTCTTCAGGGAGGCACACCCGAGAGGGACCCTGCCGACCAGGCCGCAGCGCGGCAGGCCCCTCTCCCATGGGCAGGAGGCGGGCGGGCGTGCTCCGGCGGGGAGGGAGGCACGTCCGCAAGGGACCCTGGCGACCAGGCCACGGCGCGGCAGGTCGTCCCGGCTCACCCTGGCCCCTCCCTGGCCGAGTGAATATCGGGCCGGACGAAAGGGGGGGATTGGGAAAGGGTCGACTACACGTAAGAGTGACCCTTCGCCGGAGTGACCTTTGGTGCGCGCTCATTGGGGTCCCCCGATCGCCGCGCTCGTTGCGATAGTAGCGTCCTGCGCGCTTGTGTTTGGCCTCCTCGCGCCCCCCAAAAAGCCGCGCACCAAAGGTCACTCTTGGCCAGGGTCACTCTTACGTGCAGCCGAAAGGGGGGGGTACGAAATTTGCTGCATGCAGCTGGTTTCGGCCTCACCGAGGGGCCCATTCCTCGATACATAGCTCCCTCCGGCGCCGGGAGGCGCCGGGAAAATCACCTACGTGAGCTGATTCTCACCCCCCCCTTTTGCAACCCCCCCTTTTCGCCCGACCCGAGAATACTGTTGACCTCGATGCAGGTCTCTGTCAGTATCGGGCTTCGACCGCGTCAGCACGGTCAAGCCAGGCGATCAAAGCGCGTCTCCGTCAAGCCCCCACGTCGAACCCTCTCCCCCCCCCCCTCCCGACGAAGCCGACCACCGCCGCCCACCCCAGCATATCCTCCGTCTGCGCCGCCTGGTCGGTTTCGCTGCCGCAGTGTCCGTAGCCTCGTCGCGGGCGGCCTTTTCCTACGGGCCCCTTGGCCCAGCCCGTGTGCCTGCGGCTGCTCAGCTCTCCCTCCTCCTCGACGCCCGTCCTTTCCCTCCCTCCTGCTCCCTGCCTGCTGCCTTCCCTCCATCCTCCTCCGCCTGCCCGCCCACCCCACCCCGCCTGCCGTGGCCTCTCCCCGCCTGCGCGTTCGTCGCCGCCCGCTCGCCTCTCTCACCATGCCCGGCCGGAGCCGCCCCGGGGCCCCGGGGCGGTGCCTTTCCCCGTGCCGGGCTGTCGAGCTCTCGCGGCGGTGGTGCGCTCTGTACTCAGGAGGGGGAAAAACACACAGGAGCTTGTTTTTTTATTGCTCGGACCCGTAACGCCCGTTACGGGGGGGGGTCCCCCCCCCCCCGGTAACGGTAATGAGCGTACGGGGACGAGGGTGCGGACCCCCCCTCCGTCCAGGCAGGCATGCTGTGACGCTCACATGTGTGCTCAGGTTCGAGGGTCGAGGTTCGAGGTTCGAGGTTCGAGGTTCGAACCTCGGCGCAAACTCGAAATGGATCCACGGGGCCCGACTGGGGCTCAGACGCACCAGTTTCCCGAGCCGCGTCCAGCCGCGGCGACGACGAAGGCCCTCGAGGGCCAGGATGCCTCGATCCTCGAGGTTCGAGGTTCGCATCCCTCGGCGCGAACCTTTCAACGGGTTCCGGCCTGGCCCCTCCACCTCCTTTGCCTTGCTTCTGCACTCGGAGGAGGAGGGGGATCATCTTCCTCTGGTCCTTCAGAAGGCGGCGGGACTTCTCAGAAGCCCTCTGGCCTTCAGAGAAGCCCTCCGTGTCTTCGGGGGAGGCTTGGACATCTTCTTAGAAGGCCAGAAGCCTTCTGAGCCTTCTCAGAAGGCCCGCCCCCTGTTATTTCCCCCCTCGGCTCGCCGCCAAATCTTGCGTTCAGTGCCAACGGGCACTGCGCTTTAGCACTTGATCGGCGGTGTGGCGCGCCACAGGTGCCACAGAATGGTCGTCGTCATCCCTGCCGCGTCCGTTGTCATTATCCTGCGGGCTGCACCGGGAGTCCCGACGCCCGCCTGCCAGCACGACGTTTCCCCGAACAGTGCGCGCACCAGGAGTTCCGTTGAAACGCAGCGCCACAAAGTGGCCCCGCCTTTGGCGCAACCTGTGGCGCAACCATCGACGCAACTTATGGCACGCCCTGAGGGCGCAACCTAAAGCGCAACGTAAGGTTCGATTTGTGGGGCGCCCTGGGTGCGCAACCTATGGCGCAAGCTATGGCACGCCCTGGGGGCGCATCCTATGGCGCAGTTTACGGCTCAACCTATGGCGCAGGTACTTGTACGCAAGCACAACGTGTGGTGTAACGCATCGGGCAAGCCATGGCGCAACCAGCCGGTGCACTCTCACAATATCATTATGACTACTACCATTGTCCTCCCTCCATTCTCCCTGTGCTGGTGCAAGGGGCTGGACTGGGCGAGACCTGCACGCGGATGTGGCCGCATGTCGTTCCAGCGCTCGGCCCTCCTACCTCGCGCGGCTGGTCACGCCAGCCCCCCGCGTGTGTATCCAGCAAGTGGGCCCCAAGCGCTGCTGAAGCTTTCGGCAACTGGCTGCGGACACGGCGGCGGCGGCGGCGACGGCGACGGCGGCATCGGCGGCGACGACGACGGCGGTGACGGCGGCGGCGGTCACTTTCACCGCCGCCGCCGCCGCCGCTTGCCGCCGTCGGCGTCGTCGCCGTCGCCGCCGCCGTCGTCGTCGCCCCCCCGGCCGCCGTGGCAATTGACGGCGACGACGACGACGCACCCGCGTGCACGCTCCAGCCGTCGACCCATGTCTCAAGGGCAATGTGCCTGTGCAGGGAGTTCCTGCTTCCTGTATTCCCTAGGCTGCCGCCGCCCCGCGCGCCCCCACGGCGCGTGGTTTACACCCCGCACACGAGCTTTGTGGTGCATACATGCCATGTGGTATACACAGGCGCCACGGTTCACACTCCCATGATGTACACAGTCGCAATGGAGTGCACAGGCGCTGTGGGCTCAACAGGTCCGAGCGCTTTTTGAACCAGAAAAACTCAGATCCACAAGCAGCTCACATAATGAAAGGGCCGCGGTTGGGCCCCGAGCGATCTTCTGGACTTTCGCTCCGCCGGTATCTTACAGGTGTACACAAGCTTTGTGGTGTACGCTGGCATTCTGGTGCAAACATGGGGCGTTGAAGCAGCAGCTGTGGTGCACGCGGGCGCCGTGGTGTGCACCAACAGTGAGATGTACAAGGGCGCTGTGGTGCACCCGCCTGTCATGATGTGCTCAGTCGCCGTGGTGCACACACATACCATTTCTGCCGCAGTTGTGGTGTACAAAGGCATCGCGGTGTACAGAGCCTGTGTAGTGTGCGCAGGCACGGTCGGCTTCGACGACGACGACAGCGGCGACGACGACGACGACGACGACGACGACGACGACGACGAAGCCTACCGTGCCGACAGTTGTGCTGGTAACAAGTACCAGGGCCCGTGCGAGGGCCCCGCCGCGCGTTACCGTTACCCCCATCTTGGGGCCGGACCCCCCCCCGTAACGGGCGTTACCCCCCCCCATCAAAAAAACAAGCTCCAGACACAATTAATCGTCGATCCCCAGAAAAAAAGTGAAAATATGGGAAGTGGTGGGGAAAACAAAAACCAACAAAACATGGACAAATATACGGGATATTTTCACTAGTGTGTATTTATTGTGTGCTTCTGGGGCCCCTTGATGTACGCCATATGGTCCAGGGCTTGGCACATTCTGGATGATGCGACGTGCGGTGCCCAGGGAGGGCGACGCCGCGATTGCCCTGCCGTGCGCAGGGCGATCCGACGCCATCGTGGCCTCCCCCTGGTGCACGGCGGCTTCTGCCGCCACAGCCGCTCCTCGCGCCGGGGCGTATGGTTCTCTGGCGGGCTTGGCCGTGGGCTGCCGCCAGAGCTGATGCAGAGCGGCACGGGCAGCGTACATGTCAGCATCGTTCACCCGATTCCCATCCCCATTGGGCCATGGCATCTCGGCCCCGCCAGCCCACCCCCCAAGGTGGGGATGGGCCCCGCGAAACCCGAAAGACAACCCCTATCAAGGGGGGTGAATCGGTCAGTGGGTCCAGGGACATCCCCATCGGGACAGGGATCGGATACAGGCGGCCCGGACTAGTACAGTCGGGGCCTTGAAGAAGGAACGCTTTTCGTTGGGGAGGGGTTCGGTGTTCCTTGCTTGTTTTACAGTTTGCCTCGGGTTTCCCTTAGGTTCCTGCATGGAAAATCGAAGTTTAACTTACGAAAAAGGGGCTTCGTTCCTTATTTAGGGTTCCTTAGGTCAACGCCCCGACAGTAGGTCGACCCTGCCAACTCGAGGATACTCGTGTGTCCTGCGCATCGCGCGTGGTGTCCTCTGCAGCAGTGGGCGGGCGGCTGCTGCACGGGAGGCTGGAGGCCTTGCCCCCGCGCGGGCACGGGGCCCAGAAGGTGGTTGACCAGGGAGGCCGTGGCCGGGGCGCGGGTTGTGAGCCACGATCCGCCCGACCGTGCACGGACCATCCAAAGCCGTCCTCCTTTTCCACTGATTTTGGCCATCCTCCTCCTCCTCCTCCTCCTCCTCCTCCTCCTCCTCCTCCTCTCCTTCTCCTCCTCCTCCTCCTGTTCCTCCTGTTCCTCCTCCTCCTCCTCCTTCTCTCCTCCTCCTCCTCCTCCTCCTCCTCCTCCTCCTCTCCTCCTCCTCCCCCTCCCCCTCCTCCTCCCTCCTCCTCCTCCTCCTCCTCCTCCTCCTCCTCCTCCTCCTCCTCCTCCTCCTCCTCCTCCCTCCTCCTGCCTGCCTGCACACACTCAAGTGCCCCTCGTGGTGCGATGACTGGGCCGTGCACGCGGACGGCAGTGCCCAGCGGAGCGACTCGTTCTCGCACGCCCAGGGCGGAGGCAGGGCACAGAGATGAGGGAGGTGGGCACTGCAGAGGTCTTCAATGAAGCGCACCGCGCCGCGCCGAGGACACCTGGCGAGTGCGATGCAAGAGCTTCAGGACCGCGGCGTTGGAGAGGGCGGGGGGGCACCGTAGGTCGCCCGGCGCGGCCACCATTCTGTCGCGTCCAAAAAAGTTTGGGGTTTTACGTGCCCCCCCAGGAACCTTCGACCAAGTACTCATGGCGCAGCATCACTCAACGAACATATTTCCTGGAGCCCAGCATGCTGGGGAAAGCATACCAGGCGTGAAGGAAGAGGGGGAGGCCTTCTCAGAAGGCGGAGGGGCTTCGGAGAAGGCTCAGAAAGCTATTCAAAAGGTTGCCGGGGGGGAAATGGCGGAACAGGGGGAGGAGCAGGAGGAGGAGGAGGAGGAGGAGGGACGACAAGGAGGCAGAGGACACGGAGGACGAGGAGGCGCTTCTTGACTCCTGGCCCCGGGCACCACCCACCCTTCTCTCCCCCATTCCCTTCCCCCCTCTCCTCCTGCCCCCGCCCTCTTCCCCTCCCCGGCCTCACGGCGAGGCGAGCGTCGCGTCTGCCTTGGGCGCTCGGCCTGCTAAGGTGCGGATCCCGTCGGCGAACGTCACGGTCTTGACTCGCGATAGGGCCGCCGCTGTCCTCGACAGGGCCGATGAATGGGGCTGCCACGTGGTGGCCCTTCAGGAGACGCGGCATTCGGACCCGCGTTACGGTTTCCGGTGGTGCCCCCAGTTCTTCACGGCCCAGGGGTGGCGGGTCCAGTGGTCGGCTGCCCCCCCTCCGGTCGGCAGCAGCGGCTCTGGGGCCCCGCGCCGCGCAGCCCAGTGCGGGATGTCTTGCGCCCCCCCCCCGCCCCCGGCAAGGTGGCACGGCTATCCTGTGGCGGCCTTCCATGGGGAAAGGCGCGCCCGCCTCGAGCCCTGACGATTGGCGCCAGTGCCACCGCCGTTTCGAAGGTTGGGCTTTGTCCTCTGTGTACGGGCCCGCTGGCCGCGAGGATTCAGTGTTGGTTTGCCGGGTCGTTAGATTCCCTGTCCAGCGTGGCCGGCCCTCTCCATGCCGTGGCGGTTGGCGATTTTAACTGGAAGCCCGGGTACGACGATAACACCGAGGCTCCCTGGGAGGTGGCGGACTCTCCCCCGACCACGGTGTCCCTCACGTCGCCTTCGCGCCTCGTCGGTCTGGGCTGCTCGGCGGTGGTAGTGGATTCGGCCCCCTTGCCCGCCGTCCCCCACCATTTCGGGGCGGTGTGCGATGTCGACCTCCCCCCTCCCCCCCAGCCGGCCCAGACGCACCGCCTCAAGAGACCGGCCCGCTACGAGTGGGTCCGTGCGCCCTCGTCGAACGAAGCTGCGCTGTTGGGTGCTGCAGCTGACGAGTGGGGGGCCCCGAGCCTAGCTCTTCCCCCCGTGTTTCCGATTGGGCAACCGAGACGCTGGCGCGGTGGCACAGGCGCGCCGAGGCCACGGTGAAGACGGCAGCCGCCCTAGGCGTGACCAGCGTCACCCGGGCCGCCGAACGACCAAAGGGAGTTTCGACCGAAACGCGGCCCGTGGCTCCTGGTGGGCCCATGCGGGGCGAGGCAACGATCCGCGAACGTCGCCTGCTTCGGCTCCACAGGTTGGTCGTGGCGGCTGGGAGGACGAGTTCCGTGGGCACCGCGGCGCTTCTGCCGCCCTTGGTCACCCGCAAGTGGGCCCCTGCCTGCCAGGATGGGTTGCTCCAGGGCCCCCCGCCCCGCACCCTAGGCGAGGCGGCCCAAGCTCTGTCCCAGGCACTCGCTGCAGAAGCTAGGGTCACCCAGCAGCGCGCCCTCAAGACGTGGCGGTCTCAGTTCCGCATATGGGGCGCCCGCACTGCGGCCGCGGCCGCGCGGACGATGCGGGAACCCGCGCCCGCCCCAGCGTTTTCGGCTGAGGATTTACGGCGGGAGTGGGAGCCGTGGTGGGTGCCTGACTCTGGAGGCGCCCTCCTGGACTGGGTCGTCGTCGCCCGCGATTGGGGGTCCCCGAAATCCCCGCCAACCCCGCCTGGCGACCCCCCTCTTTCGCGGCCTTCCAGCGGGCCTTCCGGGACACTCACGGGGCGGCTGGGTTCGACGGGCGGGAAGCTTCTGAACTGCAGGGCCTTTCGGACCACCTCCCTGGCCTCCTCCACGAGCTCCGGGCCATCGTCGTCGCCACGGTGGAAGGGGGCGCCAGCCCATGGCCAAATGAGCGCACGCGGGCTGTCGGGGCCTTGCGGGCGGTCGGCATCCCTAAGCGGGGGTCCGACGACGCCCGGCCGATCGCGATCGGGCCGGTTTGGATGCGAGCTTGGGGCCGTTGTCTCCTCGACGTGCTTCCCGCGCCCCCTGCCGAGGCGTTCGGGGAGAGGGGCGCCGTGGCCTCCGTGGCTGACTGGGCCGCCGCGCCCGGCGACGCGGGAGCCGAGGTCGACCTGAGCCGGGCCTACGACTCGGTGGACCACGGCGTCGCAGGCGCCGCCCTCAGGCACCAAGGTGCACCTGCTCCGGTCGTGGCTACCATGGACGCGGTCTGGCGGGCCCCCCGATATTGCTCGGTGGCTGGGGACGCTGCTGCTGCTTTACTCCCTACTCGGGGCCTGCCGCCCGGCGACCCTTTTTCGGGCCGTATCCTCAGTCTGGTGCTCCTCTGGCACGCCGCGGTCCGTTCGGTGCCCAGGACGCGCGCGTGGTCCCACGTGGGCGACCGTTCCATTAAGGCCGCCGCGGCGGTTGATCGGGACCGCGCCTAATTAGCGATCGCTGCGGAGATCGACTGGCGGCTTGGCTTTTCGGAGAACATTAGGAAGCGGCAGGTTTGGTCGGGCACCCGGAGCGCCGAACACTTACGAGTGCGGGCCGCTGTCGGCGACGCCGCGACCTGGCCCCAGCTGCCTGAGCCTCGGGGCGGGCGGGGCCAGATCCGCCCCGGATCAGGGAGCTCGCGGCCCCGATGCGCGTCGCTCCTAAACATCGGTGGTCGGCCCCGTTCTGCGCGATCCCGCCCTGTGATCAGATCGCGCTCGCGCTTCGGTCTGTCGTTCGGACTCGCTGCGCCTGGCTGCGCGCTCGGCGATGGTACGCCGAGCGGGTTTCGTTGCACCCTGTCTTCGGCACGGCGCGCGCTGTGCTGAAGGCGGCTCGGGGGGGCCCCGCGTCGCGGCAGTTGTCAGCGGCGCTCCCGGAGCATTCTGGCGTGTTCGGGCTGCTCCCGGTTGCCGCTCCCGGTTGCCGCCGGGTCGCTCCTCGACGGCGTCTGGCTGCATCCGGCCCCGGGGCTCGACCCCCGGACCGCGGCGGCGGTCGCCGCTGCAGCCGCCGCTGACAGCCGCGAAGCGAGAACCCGGCACCCTGGGGCCCCATCGCCCCCCCCGGAGGGTTTTCGACGCCTCATCCGATCGCGGTCAGCACGTTGTCCGGGAACGCGCCTGGGCGGCGCTCCTTCGCCCCCGGGCGGCGCCTGGCCCCCGCCGCGGCACGACGAAGAGGGGGTCGGGGAGATCGATCTGGCTGTTCAGAGCGCGCCACCTTGGGCCCAGTTCGAGCGATCGCTGGGCCGGCGCGAGACGAACCTCCTCGCCGTTTGGAGGGGCGGGACCGCGTGCGCGCCGACCCGCAGGCACAGCAACGCGTGCGTTTGCCCGTTCGGTTGCGGGCGCACCCAGGCGTCGGCTCGGCACTTCTGGGCCGAGTGCCCGCGTTTTGCTGGACGTCGGCTCGAACTCGGGGAGAATCTGCGGGTCGCGCCAGCCTGGCGGGGGGCCCAGCCCCGCGTCGCGACGAAAACGGGGTGGATCACGAAGGCTGCCAGGGGCTCGATTCAACGTCGGGCTCAGCTGCAGGCGATGGCGCGCCGCCTCGGCGTCGCCGTCATGCAGGCGCTCGCTGGCCTCGGCGGGTGGGCCTCCGGGGGCGCGGTCTCCCCGCCTGGGGCCCACCTGGGCCCTCCCCCCCTTCCCCCCCCCTTCACTCCGGCGGGCGGCGGCCTGGCGGGCGGCGGGGCGGATTCCGACGACGCTGGCGACCTCCCCCCCCCCTCCTGGCGGTGGCGGTGGCACCCTGGGTGCTGACAGCCGCCCTAATTAGCTCCGCTTCAGTCCTGTGGTCCACTGGCCCTTTTCCCGCTTCGCGCCCGGGTCTTTTGCGGCCCGGGGGCCCCCCCCAAGGTTTTAACAGCGCCACGCGTTGTTTTAGACAGCAGCTAGGGCAGAGGCATCCCGCTGCTTTTATTTCTCTGGAGGCGCAGCACCAGGTGGAGGGGGGCGCGGACGATGGCAACGGCGAGGTGAAGGAGGGCGGGGGGAGGGGGCACGAGCAGGCGCACAAGGGCGAGGATCGACATGCAACCTTTATGGTGCACAATGAGTGTGGCGCAAGCCGTGTGCTCTAAGCTACGCGGTGCTAGCTCGGCGAAATTACGTGGTTTGAAGTATGTGGTGCTTCGCTATGCGATGGGCGCGATGTGGCGCAGCGCGCGCGGCGGCAGCCCAGCGCGCGAGTTGGCCATGGGCGCGCGCCGGGCGAGAAGCAGCGATGGGGCGTGCCACGGGCGGCCACTGGGCGAAATGCCAGAGACCCCGCCACCGCGCGGAGCAGGCGCAAGGCGGCTGCGGGTGGCTAACAGACGATGCCCCAGAACACCCGGCAAGCGCTTGGGTCGGCACCAAGTCGATTTACAGGGCGGTCACCTTGGCCGAAAAAGCCGAAGCACATGCCAATCACCTAAAACGCAGCAGGGCCACGGTTCGGGGAATGTTGCATGTGCGCACGCAGCGAGAGAGAGAGAGAGAGAGAGAGAGAGAGAGAGAGAGAGAGAGAGAGAGAGAGAGAGAGAGAGAGAGAGAGAGAGAGAGAGAGAGAGAGAGAGAGAGAGAGAAAGAGAGAGAAAGAGAGAGAGAGAGAGAGAGAGAGAGAGAGAGAAGAAGAGAGAGAGAGCGAGAGAGAGAGAGAGAGAGAGAGAGAGAGAGAGAGAGAGAGAGAGAGAGAGAGAGAGAGAGAGAGAGAGAGAGAGAGAGAGAGATAAAGAGAGAAAGAGAGAAAGAGAGAAAGAGAGAAAGAGAGAGAAAGAGAGAGAA